TTGGGGGGCGGCACTCACCTTCAAACGGATCCGTCGGTCTCCGCTCCTTCTTGGCCGACGACGATGACGGTGTAGCCGAAACTTGGAGTTGCGAAGCGACTTCCTCGTCGTCGTCGTCGTTGTCGTTGTCGTCGAACTTGGTATGTTTGCCCGCTGGCGAGGAGGGTTCTGAGTCGTTGCCGGACAGGGCGGCACGGATGAATCGACCCGCTGCTGACTTGTCCAGCCTCATGTGTGCTGCAGATGCGGACCCGGTGAGGCAGGGAGGGGAACGAGGGACGTGTCAGCGTGAGCGTGGGCGGGACTCGACAGACCCGGGGGAAAGGCGAGGAGGGCAGCGGGACGTACCTTCGTCGGTGTCGCGGCTCTGTACCGCCTTGATCTTGCCAAAGTATCCCTTGACCCGTTCCAACTCGGCCATGACGGGGTGCGAGGAGGCGTTGATCCCCTTTGCCTTGAGGTAGACTGCGCACGGTCAGGTTAGAGGTCGTAATCAGCCCGCCGCCGCCGTCTTCATCCTCAGTCCGTCCCTCTGGTCCACTTCAAGGCGCTGTAGAGGGGGAGAGGTGGGACTCACTCCATACGAGATCGAGCACGACATAGGCCAGACTGACTTGCAGCCTGGCCGAGTCGAGCCGACCACTTAGCTCCGTCTCCCCCTCCTTTTCCTTGCCCCGCGACTGTGAAGCCTCATCGCCAAACTGGAGCGAATTGGTGAGTTCCTCGAGGCTGTGGCCGTGTAGCAGCGGGTGCAGCACCGTATCGAGCGACGTCAATGACGTCGAGAGCTTCTTGAGCACGGGCAGCGGCGATTTGGCGAGGTGCGCCATCGTATCCTGCCGCACAAGGGGTGTACGATCAGAAGAAGGTCGAGGCGGAGGATGCGGACTGGAGATTGGGGATCGTGGTGGATGTGATGGCAGAACAGGCAGGGCAGGGGTGAGGCTGAGGCTTCCGGCTGGGTGAGCGCCACAGGTGGAGCCACAGACGTCCGAGAATTTCAGGCAAAAATCACAGGTCCGCCTTCCGAGGTCAGGGGACAGTGGGGCTGCGTGGGGGCAAGGGGATGAGGTGTGCCTGCTTGCCTGCTCCGCCATCCCAAGCGCGTTGATGAAGCGGACGCTGGCTCATGCTGGCACCTTCAGCACGCTTGCTTGCTGCTGCTGCGATAGTGTGGCTGTAGACACCACCAGGTGGCTGAGTGCTTCAATGAAGGCTGGGTCACTCTGAACAAGCCACTTCCTCAGCTCAATGAAGTGAGCAGGCACACACCACATGTCCTGCCTGACCATAGCAAGTGTGGCAGCAGCCAGCCAGCTCACTCGCACCACCAGGCTGAGCTCCAGCTTCTCAGGCAGAAAGTAGTTGATGCAGCAGCAGCAGCAGTGGTTGACATTGTTGCAACAGGGAGATGAGGCATCAGGCTGCTGAAGGTTGGAGTGGCCTGCCGGTTGAAAGGACTGATGCAGCGCCGGTTTGATGGACTGATGCAGCGTCAGCTTGAAGGACTGATGCAGCACCACTTTGAAAGGACTGATGCAGCGCGAGCCGGCACAGACTCAAGCGGCTGTGCCTTTTTGCCCAGGACGAGCGTGAGGCTCTCCACCCACGGAGCGTGGTTGAGACAGCCCCCTCGACGCACGACACAGGCAGTAGAGAGGCGAACACCAGCCATAGAAGCCACAAAAGTCGGGTTCTGCGCACATCAGGGATCAGCCACGAATGATTGAGAGCGCTACGGGACAGGGTCAGGGTGTTCTGGGTCAAGGAGGACATCCGAAGCGGAGTGGCCAGTACAAAGCAGGGGAATCGGGTACATCAGGCAGGAATCCGAGGCAACAGCAGTGGCAGCGCGGCCGGGCTGCAGTCCGAGTCGCTGGGCTGCTCGTGGATAAAGCGGTCGTGGACCTCTTGCGAGTTGGTGGGCGAGCTGCTGATGGGCCGGCGAGGGCCGAGGTCGGCAGCGGCGAGGTCTGCAAAGTCGGTGTACAGCAGTGCGCTCGGAGGGCTGCGGCTTGGCAGGGGCCGGATGATGCGCTTGGCCGTCGGTGGCGCCGTCTCGGGCTGTAGCGCTTCGAGCGCCTCGTCGAACGAGGAGTACGATGTGACGCTGCTTGCCCGGCTGTAGCCGCAGCGAGAGCCCTGTGGGTCGAACGAGGTGCTGGCCTGCGACGAGTCCGTCGACGTGAGGCTGCCGTTGGACGAGTCGCGAGCTGCGGGATGGTAGCGTGCCGTGGAGGGGAGGCCGAGCCCGAGCGCGTTGCCGTAGAGGCTGCGGCTGTCGAGGTCGTGCATTCGAGCGCTCTCGAAAGATTGCTGGCTGGGCCTCGCCGTCATCGGGGGCTCGTCGTCGCTGCCGGCCTCGCTCTGCTCTTGGTAGGCGACGGCTCGAGTGGTGCTTCTCGCGATCCGGGCGCTCGCTCGTGTGCCCTGCCTGACAGCGGGCCTGGGCTTGCTCGGCGCGGGCTTAGCCTTGGTCTTGGCCGTAGGCTTGGACTTGGCCTTGGTGGCGGCCGTCGAGGCCTTTCGCTCCTTGACACCCGCCTTCTTTGTCTTCTCGCGCCGCTGGTCCTCCTTGGCTCCCTCGATGACGTCCTGCATCCAGCCCCGCACCTTCTGCTTGATGCCGTGCCGCAGGTACAGCTCGATGGTCTCGATGTCGTCCGCGAGCTTCTTCATGCGCTGCTGCACCTCATCGCTCATCGGATCCCGACCCGGCGCGATGAGCTCGGCGAGGCTATCGCCCTGATCGCCCGGACGGCCCTTGACCGGCCGACCCTGCTCGCGGAGAAAGGCCCGGATGATCCTGCCGGTCCGCACGCGGTCGTCGCCGCCGAACTCCCGCTTGAGGGCCTGCCACCCGCTGCGCCGCCGTGCGTTGATGAACCACAGCATCAGCCGCTCGTCGTTGATCTCGCCCCGCTTTGTGTGCTTGATCGACTGGTAGGTTGGATGTTGCCGGATCGCCGCGTTCGTCTGCCGCACGATATCGTCCTTTTCGTCCTGCGATGGATACGGGTCGTCGAGGTGGTCGAGGAAGTAGCGCCGCATCAGGTGGCATTGGAGGGTGTCGGTTGAGTTGCAGGACGTCGCCACGCTCGTGAAGGCCTTTTCCTGGTTCGGTGTGATCACTGGTGTGTCTCGTTGGACACGCATGAGGGAGTCACACTCCCTTTCGGCACGATGAAGGGCAGAACCGATGCATGCCTCTACTTCCGCCAATGTCCTGGCAACTGCGTGAATGCGGGTGACGACAGCGCTGATCTCGTGTCCATGTTCCGTGTCTGCGTCGTGGCTCGGCCATGTTGCGCCCATCCTCGCGTCGAGCGCTTCGATTCGAGCCACAGCCGAAGCCAAGGCTAGGGGCTTTGAGGCCGAGTTCAACAACTCATCTTCAATGTCTGCGAGTGCTCTCTTCAGCTCTTGTGTCTCCATCGTGGCTCTGAATGTTCTGAAGCGGATACGGTGTGGAAGAGGGATGGTGGTGAGAAGGAGCCATCGAGATTGCCACGTTCGTCACTTGACCTGAGTGGGAAACAAAGGGACCGTCCGACACAAGCTGGTGCCAGAAGGAGCCCTTTTCTAAAGCTTCAAGGGCACTTTATGTCGGCCTGATCTTCTCTTCCAACTACCATATCATCATCATGTCTACCACACAGCACACCTGGCGCAAAATCTCATCAGCCGCCGCTCGGATAGAAGCAAGCACTCGTGCCTGTCTTCCACAAGGCTATGGGCTCGAAGAAGAGCAATCAGAAGCGGCACCTCCTCTAGCCTTGCCGGCACCCGACATCGAGCTGTTCCGAAGCGCTCTATCCCAATACCCCCTCACTTCCTCAAGCTGTGTCAGTCTGCTCGCTATCTACGAGGCGAAATGCTTAGAGTCAGCCAGATCATTTCAACAGGCATGGGATTCGATCAGTCGAAACTTACCGCAGAATGACGATCTCAAAGCACAAGTCGCTACAGCCCTTGTTCGACGTTTCGTGCATGCCGGAAGGGACCTGTCACATCAGATCTTTGCGGAAGTCACCTCAAGATTCACACATTCGCTGGTTCACGCCTGCGCCGCGGATCCCGACTCGAGGTCCACCTCCTCCTCAACCGACGACGAAGAGGACGACGACGGCGCCCGACCTCGACGATCGCAGCGAGGCAAGCCAAGGGGCCACGATGCGCGGAGCACGGCGATTCTGGAGCGGGCGTACTCGTACAGCCAGAGCATCACGCACGTCGAGAAGCTGGCGCTGGCGGAGCAGACGGGCCTGCAGCCGCGGCAGGTGACGATTTGGGTGAGTACGAGCGGTGTCCGGGCCGGTGTGGCGAGCGGTCGAGAGTGGGTGGCGAACGGACGGTGGGGCTGGACGAAGGGGATTTGGGCCCGGCCTCTGACCTGGTGCCCGGGCTGCGTCGTCACGCTTGACGCGCGGGCTGGGGTGGGGAATTTTGCCAGGGCGCCACCTCTTTTCCCTGCCTCCCCTTTGTCCTCGCCCACCACCACCGCCGATTCACTCGACCCTCCCTTTGTCCTCGTCCACCCGTGGCAGCCAGTGGGCACCAGAGCAGCCCTCTTCTCCCCGACCTCACCACCGCGGGACCTCGCCGACGCACCTAGCTCTGCACCTGGGCGGTCCGAGCGCAAACCGCGCGCGGCCTAGGCTGCTTGCTCGCCCCAGGGCGACGAGTGCAAGACCGAGCTGACGCCTTCCTTCCCTTCTCCCCTGCTCTGCTCTCCCTCTTTCACCCGCGACCGCGGACGAGCAGTTCCAGAACAAGCGCAATCGAAACAATCGCAAGGCGAGGCAGCTGGCCGCCTCTGGCATCTGCGACACGGCACCGAGCGAGCAGGATCACGAGCAAGCCCAGCCTACGCCGCCACAGCCGAAGCCTGAGAGGAAGCGAAAGCTGGCCACCCTCAACATCGACGCCACTACCAGCCCTCGACGACCACAGAGCTCGCCCTGTCCGCCCTCCGACGTCGACGACGACGAGCTCATCGGCAGCGATGCTGAGGGCCTTGGAAGCCCGTCCAACGTGGCTGCTAGCGCCCTTGCCGCCGCCACCGCCACCACCAAAAGGCCTCGTTTCTCGGACGACCGCTCGCCCTCGGCTGGATCGTCGTGCTCGTCAGCCTACTCGGGCATGAGCGCCTTCACCCAAGGCACCGACACCTCGATCGCCACCACCGTCGACTCGCGCAGCAGCTATCCAAGCTCGGCCAGCTCCCACGATGGCGACGACTGCTCCTCGAGCGTCTTTGGAGAGACGTCCTACGACCTTTCGACCTTCGCCGATGTGTCCTCCAGCTCACAGAGCGCAAGCGCAAGCGGACAACGTCTGCCGGGTGGCTGGTGCGACCCAGCCTTGGCTGACGCGCGCAGGGTCCGCTCTCCGTCGCAGCAGAGCACGACCGACGACGAGCTCGCCTTTACGCACGGCTCCAACATGCCGCGCTACGACCTCAGCGACCTCGAGCTGAGCCCGCGTTCGCTTTCGCTGTCGCTCGAGGCCAGCTGCAACGAGGCGCTGATGGGTTCGTGGCAGCGGCAGCCTGTCAGTCCCTGCGGCACGACGGCACGCAAGGACGACGATGACGACGAGTGGGAGGACGTCGAGATGGAGCAGGCGCCATCGTCGGAGGCGCCATCATCCGCTGCCAGGACGCACGGCAAGAAGCCAGCCAGGCACTCGAGCACCTCGTCGCTGGGCATGGCGCCGCTCGAGCCCCCCTCGCGTCACGCATGGCAGGCCCATGCCGGCTTCAGCAGCGTCCAGATGACGCCGACGCAGGCCAGTTTTGGCGCGGCGTCTACCACTTGGAGGCCAGCAGTACCCTCCAGTTCCTCCCTGCAGCCTCAGCGCTTTACCACGCAAGAGGAACAGTTCAACACGGCCTGGCTCGCCGAGCTCGAGGCGATGCTCGCCAATCCGTCCTCGACCTGCCTCACGAGCGACCCCAACGAGCCGATACCGTGCATCACCTTGACCGACATCGAGATGAGCCAGGACGAGCTCGCCGCGTTCGCATGGGCCAAAGTCGAGCCCGCCTCGTCGTCGTCGTCACCCTCGTCGTCGTCACAAGGGCAGCACGAGGAAGCACAGACCTGGTTCGACTTCACCCAGGGCTTCGTACCACCCCCGCCCTCTGCGTCTGCTTCGGCTTCGGCTTCGCCGCCCGACTATCGATCGTGATCCGCGCCTTGTTCTGGTGCGCGGTGTGTTGGTGCGCTTTGGTATGGCGAGCCTCATTTTGGTCCGCCTCGCTTTGGTGAGTGGCCCGCGGAGAGATTGGGAAGCGGGAGCGAGTGGATCGTCGCTGACCTCGTCCCTCTCCGATCGTCCTGGTCGACGCCGCGCCCAGTCTTCTTGTATACCGCTTCTCGCTGTCTAGATCCCGCTCTTCATGAACCCATCGCCGATACCGCCACATCCGTGCAGGATCCCGTGACGATACTACGGGATGTCGATTCGCCCTGTGCCTCGAGGGCATGCCGTCATCACAGCCACCACCACCGCCGGCGCCGCCTTCGATGCGGTTGTCGTCGTGTCCCTGTCGCCCTGACTCCAGTCTCGCAGCCTCGCCACCTCCTCTGCGCACGTGCGCTGCACCCGCCCGTGCCTCGACAGGTGACAGAGCGAGGCGGTACGACACCCACATCCTCGTGGCGCTACTTCACGGGGCGGGACGGATCGTTAGTCTGCCGGGTAGGCCGCGTTTGCATCCCGAGCGGCGCTCGTCCGTCATTCAGTGCCAGTCTGCGACGAGACGGTGGAGAAGACGGGAGACACATCGGACACGATACAAGCCGAGATGGCGAGAAAACCCCGAGTCGGAAGCGCCGCCGTCTCGCCCATCGACATCGTACACATCCTTTTCCGCTTTCCCTTTCCTCCCCCCCTCCCCCAATCCCCCTTCAACCGCAAGGCGAAACCAAAATCAAAGCAACGCCGCACCCTCTCCCTCCTCCTCACCACCCTCTCCGCGCGTCCAGGAGATACGCGCATCCGCCCGTCGTTTCCTCTCCTCCTCGACCGCCACGGCCGACTTGAACGTGCTAGCCAGTGGGAACTTGTGCTGCGCCTCCGCATCGAACCTCTCCAGGTCTTCTGCACCAGGTCCAAGAGAGAGCGCGGTGGTGAGGAAGGTGCGGGCGCGGAGGAGCGTCTGTTCTCCGTGCGAAGCAGGAAGCCGAGGGCAGAGGAGGAGGGTAAGGGTGAGTAAGCGGGGTGAAACAGCGGTACAGCCGAGCCTGTACTAGGGCCGACGGGGAACTTACCGCAAGATCGCTCTTGACCTCCGATCGGACGAGGGAGAGGACCAGGTTCTTTGCCTCCTCCTTCCCCTCCTCGCGGCCACGCAGCGCAACGACAGCCTTAGCCGCACCGAGCAGGTAGCGGCCCTGATCCGAGTGTCGCTGTAGGAACTCGGTATAAATGGCCTCGCACGGCTTGTCGGCCGGCACGATGCTTCCCAGCGCCCTGTCAATGACGTTCCGATGCTGCTGCTGCTGCGCACCCGAAGACGCGAGGACCTGCTTGAACCGAATCAGCTTCTCGACAAGCTCAGGATGCTCAGGCTCGAGCTTGTGCGCGTGCGTCAGCGCCCGCGCCGCAAGGAGGAGGTGCGTGCCCGGCTGGCGGATGGCCACCTCAAACGTGGCCAACCACGTCTCGACGCGCCGAGGCGCGCGCTCCTGGAGCGTCTGGACGAAGCGCGCCGCCTCGACGAGCGGCGTCGCCGTACGCAGCAGCTGCTCGCCCCGCGGGTCCTTGTCCTCGGGCACGGCCGGCAGCTCGTC